TGGTCCCCAGCCCAGGGCAGGAGCAAAACCACTGCGCAGGCCCTGAGAGCACCTTGGGCCGCTGCTCCTCTGCTGCCTGCAGACCCAGAGCCAGGGGGCTGGGATGCTGGGGCTGGTTACGGGATACATTTCATACTGCTAATGTAGGGCTTTATATAGAGGTTGTGCTATTTTCTGAAAGGAATGGTTTAGCATAGCAAAGGAATAGCATGCTTTTTCACTTGTATAACTGCACGAGAGCATTTGGGGTACAGAGCTATTACTAATAAATCACCATAAATAGATCAATATGTCCGCACTTTAGAGCTTGAATCCAACTAGCTATGGGGAATTTGTCCCTTGGTAGCAATCAGTCCGGTGTACTTAAGGTTTCCTGACCAGATCTGCAGCTAGGACACACTGATCAATGCTGTTCCAAGTCAGCAGAGCATAACAGCTTTGCATGTCCCCATGTTCATTCTTGCAAGTCTCCTCCCCCTTTGCAAGGACACAGTGGTTAAATTATCCTTTGTTAAGTACATGGGACATCTCAGACTAACTCCAGTTCTTTATGCAAGACTAGCCTCCCTTACGACCAGTCCAGCGCAGCCCAGGCAACACCCAGCACCTTGCCAGGTGGAGACTAATTTTGTCCTCTCTGAGCAGCACTTCTTAGAAGTAGACGCAGCCAAATGAATTCTGTGAGCCACCCAAATCTTGCCATGCATCCTAAAGAAGGCTCTGCTAGTGGAGAGAGTTTGCCAGGTGGGGTGGGGGTGGGGGGAGACCTGCAGCCTTGTGGGACGCTGGGCTGCTCTTTCGGAGGGGCTAAAGAAGCATTACTAGAGAGGAGGGAGGACATGAGAGACCTGAAGAAGATCTCAACAGTCTGGCTTTGGTCCTATAGGACAACAGTCCTGCTGCTGAGGGAGGATCAAGGGCTGCATCCCAGTGTGTTGTAAAACCTTCTCCACTTTGACCTTGGGCTTTGAGAGACAGAGAGAAAAAAAGCGGTCCTCTCTGTAAGGGCTGTCTTTGTTGGAGAAAGGTGTTGTCTCTGTGCTGCTTCCAAGCACAAGTCTGTTGCTGAATCACAGATTCGACTGTGGCGTGCCACGTGCCTACCTGCTAGCCTGGAGGCTGCTGTGGAGGCAGCAGAGCCTGACATCTCTCCCTGACAAATTAGGAGTGTACCTGGGAAGGGGGAGGTAAGACTTGCAGTATGGGATTTTGAAGTGGGACCATTTGCCCAGTACCAGGAGCATGCCACTCATTCCCTAAGGGATGTCCTGCTTTCTCTCTATGTCACATCACCTATTGCTGATTATTTCTGTGAGGATTTTTCCCTCTTTTATGAGGTTTCTGCCCATGAAGCCTCCGACCAGAAGTGACAAGGGGTACAAGACAGAGGAGTCAGAATTCACTAGAAAAAGCTTCCTTCTCACCCAAGCCCTGGAGGTGGTTTCTGGGACTCAAAGCCAAAAGAGCCCAGGTCCATCAGGCCGTTTGTGAGTGGGGCAGGGGCAAGGGTCCCAGACCTTTGAGTGGTACATAGCACTGGGGTAAGCACTTACAGCAGGATACCAGGGTTACCCCAAACCAACTTTGAGCCTGAAAACTGGTATTAATTAAGTGTAGGTAAGGGCTACAAGGTAGATACCAGGCATATTTGCTAACTACCACATACCTACAAGCTCTGTCCAGAGCTCTGGGCTGTTAACAAGCTCCCTGAGACCTGCTCTGAGCATGTGGCTCTCCGGGGATGTCGCTTGCGGGTGCTCTGTTTCAGGCATGTTTTCAGAGGTGAAGTTCCCCGTGCCTTGGGGTCACACGGCAACGACGGCCTGGGGACCTCCAAAGGGGCGCCACATGCTGTGCTTGCACGGCTGGCTCAACAACGCCAACACCTTTGATGGGCTCATTTCTCTGCTCCCCAAAGATGGGTCTAGCTCACAAGGATGGGCCATGTGTCATGCTGCTAGTCTGCATGCCAGATGCTCTCTCCCTTTCAGATCGCAGCTCAGTGGTAATGAATTTTCTGCGCCACGGCCCATTTTCCCATCAGCCTCAGAGGAGGTTTGTGCCACGTCACTCCTGCTCCTGACACGGGATCCCCTTCCTCAGGACCCACGTCACAGGCACAGAAGAACTGCCAGCCTAGCAGCTGCTGCCCGTGAGCAGCCCCCTGCAGCCACCGCCTCAGCAATTACACTGCTTTCTGATGGCTTCCTACCATCAAATCCCAGCAATTCACAGGAAGGCCCTGCCCTGCCCTTCTGAACAGCCGCAGTGATTGATTATCAGGTGCATCTTATGAATCTGTTCTGCCGGGCTGTCTCTTGCTTTTCACCTTCTGCAATGAGACACCCACCTCTGACTGCTGTGGGGAAAAAAAGCTGTAGACTGTACTTGGACCCTCTCCTCCTGGGTGTTTTCCTGCTGCTTGTCGCCTGCTTTTCTGCTCCTTCTCTATGGGGAAGGCCTAAGCAAAGGCAAAGCACTGGGCTTTGCAAACCTGCAGGAATTCATGTTCCGATTTTTCTTCTAATGGCTCACCTGGAGGGCAAGCTGCGCACAGCATTGCTTCCTCTATTTCTTGTGTGATGGGTCCCCAAATTTCCCTCTGAACTGCTGTGGTGCAGACCCTGCTTTGCTTAGATGAGCTTGAGATAGGCAGGAGAGACATGGCTGTAACTTGGTAGAACTGGTTTCTTTCAAGCTTCACAGGCTGCTCTGAAAACACATTGTGTAATTTAGGAGCCTGATGTACTGAACTGAGCACGAGAGACTTCAACTACCAAGATAAAAACAATTCCCTAAGAACTGGGATTCCTTCTGCTCTTTCTAATTGTTCCAGCAAGGAGTCTCCACCATGCACGGCCTCTCCAGATTGCATCGTTCGACTGCCTGAGTCCTTGACTGAAGGGGAATGGCTGTGGTCTGCGTTGGGCCTGATAGGCTCTGAGCGCTGCGGGGAATGGCTAGGCACCAGCAAGCACTGTTCACAAGGATACTCGGGTCCATCGACTGCCTTATGATTTCTTTTTCTTCAAGCCTGGCCTACGGAGGCACCCCGTTCCTGGACAACTAATGAGTAAAACTACATAGAAATCTCTCTGGCTGAAAGAGGGTCTGTTTTTGCAGAGGAGGAGTGAAGCTGCTACTGCAGTGCTGTCGGCTGTTTATCTGCTGCACCACTTAGCCCTGCAGTAGAGTCAGTTCACTGTGATGGGTCACAGTACGGGTAAGTGACTCTTGCCTCTGGAGCAACGTGATTCCAGCAAATGCTAAAGTTCAGAATAGTTTCTTCATCAGAAAGTGGCAGAAGTTCAGCACTGGGGTCAAGCACTGAGCTTGTCTGATGTCACTATGATGCTCCTGGGCCACATTTAGAACAGCTCACGCTGCGATGTTACAGTACAAGCAGTTTCCATTACCAGTAACGCGTCTGCCAGAGGTAGTCAAGGATCAACAGTACCTCCACGATGGGCACTACTCATAGATCCCTATATACCTGGAAGGTTGATTGCCACTTCAGACCTTATGGACATCGTTAATTCCTCCATACCAGATCAGAACACAGCCTATGAACCTGACGGCTTACACCGCATGTAGAGAGAGAGATCTTCTAGCACACAGAACCAGGGGTCCCCACCTCTGCTTTAAGCAGGCTGAGGAAGCCAAAACTGCACCTCATTTCTCAACTTCCAGCATGTCTTCTCATTTCCCCTGCAGTCTCCAACAGGGCCACGTGGGCTAAAGGAAACAGAGCCCTGCACATCCTGCCCTCCAAGCAGGAGGGGAAAACACACAGGAGGATGGAGACAGATAGCTACTCACACACATAGCAGGCTGCTGTCTAAGTCACTGGCCCCCTGCCCCCGCAGCTCCTCCCTGCCCAGGGCGCTGAAGGAGAGCGCTTGCACGAGCTGGCTCAGGACGGGGGCTCCGGACTCAGCAGGAGGAGGTGGAGGCGGTGATCATTTTACCCATTTGTGCAGGCAAAGGGGTTTCAAAGCCCGGAGCAGCGGGCCGGCTGGCTTGCCGCAACTACGGGAAGGGAGGCCACGAGGAAAGTAGGTACGAGCAGAGCTGCAAAGGGCCACGCGTTTGTCAGGCTCTTCCTTTGCTGTCGGCCCAAGGGAC